CACGCGTCTGTGTGTGTGTGTGTGTCTATCAACATGTGTCCGTACACATTTAGTTGTGATTAAAAGTGACGAGTGACCGACCGATACGTCACTCAAATTTTTTGCACGTTCCGTATTGTTTTCTTCCATCTGTCTGGTCCCACTGAGTCTGTTCTACCGTTCGGTTTATCTTAACCACAGAATTCAACCAGTCGTGGTTGTACCGTACAGTAATTTAGTGATAATATTTTTTCCGTATAAGCCCGGACGAAACCAAATAGTGTGGCACCCAGTTTACAAGACCATAAAACCATCCTATGTGTTCCCGAGACAGGAGCAACTGGAAAGTGGTCACTGAAAACGCTACAACTGTGGTGGTGGTGGTGATGGGGCGGGGGCGGGGAGAGGGTGAACTCACATTCATACCTGATTGCGTTTCATCGTGGGTGGCCCCAGTCAATCTCTGCCAACTCATGTGAATTTGTGCGAAAACTGTACTTCGTCACACTCCGTGCCGTATTTAGCGAATGGCAATCTGTTGAGTGCGATTAGGAAGTAACTCAGATTCAATACATGGAACTGAACGAGATGCACGTTTAGATAGACTGTGACTGGGAATCGGGTTAAACAGTGTTGCGCGAACAAACAATTCATCAGCCAAATTCACAAATACGTGTTTCGGATGTATGCCAACAGGCTAGCCAGAGAAGATGACTACCACGTTCACTTTGAGAATTTCGGTTAACAAAATCAATGATAAAAATAGATCCTCGCTTGGATGAGCATGAGTGCACAGGTTAGCAAACACCTTGGTCTGCGGCACTTTGTCACATTGTTGACGACACCTAATTGCGAACGAACGGAGAATTTAGAACGGGACAATGTGATTATGATAAATGATATGCGTGGTCCTTGTTCGTTTGAGCGGTAGGTGCGGGGATATGTAGGGGATGGAACGGAGGGAGTGTTGGGAATGAGCAAAACACTGAACAAGAAGCCTATTCACTCCTCCGTCCCCATTCAGAAGCGATATACTTTTAATATACGACAAAACTTGTCAGCTTTGAAGAATAGTTAGATACCAGTAGGCTCAAAGAAACCAGTTACCTACATTTCTATGCTAAACACATTTTAGAATGCTGCGTCTCTTAGAATTGGCAGTCCCTAAAGTGCTACAAAATTTCAAGCAGCCACCCTCAAAGTTTGTCACTAGCAGTTTTCTTTTTTTTTCTTTTATTGTACTTCCTATTATTGAATGTTTCAGGAAGTGCAGGCGGCCAATCAGAGGATTGCGATACAACACAGAGAAAGTAGGAAAAGTCAGGCAGTGATGATGGGAATCAAACACACGTCCATCGAGGCGATACTGATGATTCAATCATTGGGTTCTACTAGGGATCACGGGTACGAATTATTGACATTGAATCTGTAGATATCTAGGTTAGTAGTATTACTTACCGCTTAGTTTTATGATTCAGAATTAGGAGAGGTTGTCTATCCATCAATATTTCAAAAATGTTAACGCAATTGAAATTCACACAGAGATCCATGGTTAAATCATTTGGAGTATAGAAACGGTATCAAATGTTTTATCGTTTATGTAATTATTGAAGGAATATACCGGAAATAGATTCAATAGGAATGGAAACCGTCTCACAAGTGAACGAAAATTCGATACAGAAAATAATGATTTCGGTCACCATGGATACACTAATGGGAAAGTTTCAGTACTCGGGACATTTGCAGACCAGTTATCACAATACACAAGACGCAAACTTCTACCGGAATTTCCGGATTCAAAGACACAGGCCATAGAATTGACATATCGTTCATGGGGAGAAACTAAACGGATTAAGTAATGAGTATAAAAAAGATTATCGATCTTCAGGAATTGTTAACCAATCGGCGTTGTGTTCTTCTAGCCATGGTATTCCCGAATGCGTCGCGGCGAGTTTGCTTGATCACAAATACTATCTCCTTAATGAATGGTTGTGAAACTGTAACGTGCGTCTTCCTGGCTAGTGTTAGATTGGAGCATTGAATCCCCATAGATCCGGAGAACAGTTGAGAGCTTTTTTTCTGGGTAAGGCTTCATCTAAAGTATAGTTCAGTTTTTCGAAGAATAGTGTGGATTGAAGGTATACAAAGTAACAAGCAATTGTTAGTGGAACAAACATTAATGAGATCTGTGGTGAAAGACGAAAAGTATACATATTATCTTTCGGGTGTGATAAGTCGATTTGACTGGTGAAGATGGCGACAAAGATATACTCCACGCTGATGAAACGGTGACACCACTGATTTTACCTGAAAATACAAAGGAACACTGTTACAGCAAAGATGTTCCAGAAAAACATGTCCTAGGCAATACGATATAGGAAGAGCTTCTTGGCTGGTGACAGAAATATTTGAGAACCCCCATTGTCAAAGTGTACGAAACCGTTGACAATTTCCTTACCTTCGCAGAAATTCCAGGGAATATGTGAATGATCACATCTATCTGTTCCATGTGAAGGCATAGGAAGAAGCAAAACGGAAACTGTGAAATTTATGATTTTGGGGAGCATAAGATACGAGCAGCTAACCTCTTCCCTCCCACCCCCTCTTATTGTTCATGTTGCTAAGTCCAGAGCCTGGAAGTCCTGTCTGAGTTCGGAAACGCGGAAAACCGGTCGAAGCAGGTGAATAGATACTGACAACTCTTGAGAGGATGAGGAAAACGCCGTGGGCGAGCTATTCGTCGTCGGTTAGGCGATTATAACAGTTGCCGTTCGCGAATTAAATCGATCTGTCCACTACGAACACTAATTCGTCCTGTGTGAGAACGGGTAAGATTGCGAGGTCAAATTGGAAAACAACGTTTAATCGTGTGACATTTGCAATAGTTGACACTGGTCATCAGTGATGTGCATATGTGCCGAACTATGACAACAAAGAGGAAAGATCAGTTGGTGTGTGATGCTCGTTTGTGAAAACCGTATACATGTTTTGTACCGCTGATGAGATCCAACCAAATCGAAACGATTATCCAGTGCCTCCCGGTTTTTCATTTGACGATTGATTTGCCCCGCACACGACGAAATTCACCATAAAATCAAAAACATTTTCCAATTCTTCTCGGTGAATAACGCAGAGGATTATAAATTCACTAAACGGATCTGGTCTGTAGCGATTTTGTCACTCGACTGCTGTGCTTCAAGGGACCGCGCTGCATGAAATAGTGTCTTTCTTTACAGACTGCAACCAAATAATTAGGAAATGTACTAGGATCACCGTTTGGAAATTCGGTTTTTCGAAAGTTACGAAAAAAAGAAAATTATGAGAAACAATGAAATTCGATAACCTAGGAAAATGTGGTGATCCAGACTTCCGTGACCGCAATCCATGCACGACCAGGTACAGTTTCATGTTATCCAATCACCGTTCAGGAAGCTCGACCAATGGTACATCGGGTGAATATGATATCCGAGTTAGCATATATGATACGTCGGTGCAAACGGTTACGTGATTAGAAGATGCTCCTTCAACCACCGATATGGACTATTACATTCTGTAAAACATAATCTCAAAGTCAAAGTCAAAGTTTTATTATGGGAATAGCTTACAAGCTGGTGCTTCTCTTGTCCCATAGGATGTTTACATAAATGAATCGTTACACATCAAAAAAGGAGTCACATAGGGATCCGGGTAGGAGATAGAGAATGTAGGCTACAGTGAATC